TAAGCCTTTTTCCAGTTCAATGCGAGCGACCGCTGTTTTAGTAGACAACAGACTCACTTGCGTAGAGAACGAAAGAAAGCACGAAAAAATGTTGACATTATAATAGCTCTAAAAATTTGAATCCTCTCCGATTTTAGGCTTAGCCTGAACAAGAGTTTGAATCTTCTGGGAATACAGAATCGGAGAAAATACAAATTTATGGGGCTATAGTGCAATGACAACAATTTGTCGTGCTTTCTTTTGTATTTGGTAAGCTCTTTGCGCAAGAGAGACGTTTGTCAACTAAAGCAGAGGTTGCTCGCTTTGAACGGGAAAAAGGCGTATTCATGCACTACTCTGCTTTTATGATATAGAAAGTTAGTTATGAGCACACGCTCTTGGACCAATCAGAACGTCCGTGCTATCACAGCAATAGTATATTTGAAAATAAGATGGATGGATTCTCATTCAATGCTCTGCAACACTTTCTGGTAATTAAAACAATATTATTCAGTGACTTGGAAAAGTTATCAAACTTTATCTTTTTAGTGAAGAAAAGTCCCGTTAACGGTTCCCTGCACCATCTTGAAGGGTAGCCGTGCCGTAACATCGTAACGAGACAATCTTTGAGCGTGCAATAATAGATACGTTGCCTGTGAATAATTGACTGTAGGTATGAAAGAGGCATTATCATGCACGCTCAACGGTTGTCTCACTGGGATGCAAAAGACACGAGAAGATTATTATATTAACTCAGTCCTTCTAAAACATATAATAATCATCTTTCCATTAGCTAATGTTCCTGAATGGGCCAGGAAAAAAGCAGACCTTGCAGGTTTGGGTAAGTAAGATAACAAGAAATGGAATAAGTTTGCAAATCGGATTCCAAAACTAAAATATGACAATTTAACATACATTGAAGACATCATCTCAAGGGGAAGAGAGCCCAGGATCCAGCAAATCCAGGATTTTTAATGTGGGAAGACTTTGATTTTCAAACCAAGCAAAATTGAAGTATTGAAAGCTCAAATTATGGGATATCGAAGCAGTAATAAATGAATCTGTTTCTGGACCATTCCATTTCAAAATAATAGCGGTCGTCGATATTTGAACTGATGTTAAGAAATGTTTTATCGTTTAATAGTTTACCTGATTTTGGAATTATCAGATACTTTGCTATCTAAAAGGGTGGCGATAAGTCACCCAGTCCAAAGGCCT